ATTATATAGGCAGAGCTAAGAAACAACAGTAAGCTACATCACTTCTCCAGCATGAAAAAAGCATAAGAAGGAAGCCAAAGGGAAAAGGGAGCATGGAGAGGCCCACAGGACAACTCTGAAGTGAATTTTGCTCTGTTCTGTGTTTCTTTTCTACTTGTCTGATTATGGGGAAGCAAGTTTTAACCAGCTCTGTGCAAAATACATACATTCATGGTTCGTAAAGTGAGAAAGGACCATTGCCATTGTATAGTACAGGCCATAGGACTTTCCCAAATTAATTCCTAGAGCATATCTTTTAGGAGAAAAATTCCAATTAGATTTTTAAATAGTCAGTGATGGAGAATCCACCACACTTCTTGGTAAATTGTTCCATTGATGGCTTATCCTCATTGTTAAAAATATATGCCTTCTATTGAGTTTGAAATTGTCTAGTTTATATCTGGAGAAATCATTTTTATCATCCTCTATCTTATATCTACTTCACAGAGGTGATATAAAGCATAAGTCATTTGTTCTAATTAATTAAGGTGCTTAGATATCCCAGGTGGAAGTAGCTCTGGAAGTTCAAAGCATAGTGGTGACGATGATGAAATAACAATGGAGCCAAACTGGTTGAAAAAAATGGCAGCAAGGTAGCCATAAATGTAGCAGGCAACAGCAGTTGTTGGAGGCCTGCTGGTAAAACAAATATTTTACTCCTTGTTGATTATTGCCAACAGGACCTGGAGAATTTTATTTACCCTGAGAAAAACTCTTACTTACCTTTCATCCTTGCTGCTCTACATTTTGTTTAAAACATTTTTGATTTGTTGCATCTACTGATTGACTTTCTCAGAAGGAAACAATAAAGACCACAGATAAAGAATGGCAGAACAACCATGATGTAATGGAAAGATGCCACAGGGTATGTCTACACTACAGCGCTAATTCGAACTAACTAAGCTAATTTGAACTAACGCATCTAGAACTAAAAACTAGTTCGAATTAGCGTTTTGCTAATTCGAACTAGCATGTCCACATTAAATGGACCTTGAACCGGGCTTAAGGATGGCCAGAAGCAGTGCCGGCAGGGCATCAGAGGAGGACTTAGAGTGTGGAGATGCTGTCTCAGGCTAGCCGAGGGCTGTGCTTAAAGGGTCCCAACCCCCACCCCGGACAGACAGTTCTCAGGGGTGCCCCGCTTGCAAAGCAGTCCTGACTTGGATTGCCCGGAATACCCACACTGGGCACATCACAACACTCGGCTATCAGACCGGCTGCACTTGCCGCAGGCTGCCATCTGGGGAGAGGGGGTAATTGGGGGGCTGCAGAAGAGGTTCCACCCCCAGAAGCCCACAGAGCCAGTCCAGTCCTCCCCATCGGGGGCTCGTACCCCATTCCTCCCTCACCTCCTTCCACTTACCCTTCCCTAGCCCCT